GCAATCCTGAAAATAAAGAATGGAGGTATCGCACTTCCAGACTTCAAATTAAAGTATGAAATTAGAAGATAAAATGATTATGGTATTTGAGAAAAGCAGATACACAGACTAACAGAATAGAATTCAGAGGCAGGAAATGAACACTTACAGAAAGAATTATTCTACAATAAAGGAGCAAAACAAATACAATGGAAAAAAAAGGAAGTCTGTTCAATGAATGGTGTTGGGAAAACTAGGAAGCTATATGTGAAATGAGACTAGATCACTAGCTCACACCGTGCACAAAAATTAACTCAAAATAAAAAAAAAAATGCTTGGATGGAAGACCTGAAACCATAAAATTCATAGAAGGAAATATAGGTAAAACAAATCATGACACTGACTTGAGGGATATCTCTTGGGATGTTCCTGTAAAGGCAAGGTAATCAAGTGCAAAAATAAACAAAAGGGACTACATCAAAGTAAAAATATGCTGTACATTGGGCAAAAAAAATCCTCATTAAAATGACAATACAACCTACTGTGTGGGAGACAATATTTGTACATCATAAATCAAACAATAGACTATTATCCACGATTTACAAAGAAATCATATAACTTGAAATCATGAAAACAAGTAACCCAATGGGGGAAAATGGGCAGATATTAAATAGTAAGTTCTCCAAGCAAGATGTACAGATGGCCAACATGCACATGAAAAATTGTTCATCATCATCAGGGAAATGCAAATAAAAAACAAAATGAGAATAACAGCTCATACTTGTGAGAGTAGCCCATAGCAGAAAGACCAGAAACAACAAACGCTTGCATGGGTGTGGAGAAAAGAAATCTTGGCACACTACTGGTGGGAATTTAGTCTGTTCAGGCCCTATTGAAAGTTGTATGGGAGTTTCCCAAAATATTAAAAATAGATCTACCATAAAACCCAGCAATTGTGCTCCTAGGTGTCTTCCCAGAGGAGTCAACACAAATAAGGGGAAATCTGATGACCTGAACATCTCTTATGCTTAAGTATTTGCTGCAGGGGGCCTTGTTGCTCCAGCCAGATAGGATACTGACAAGCAGCTAAGAGAAAGGGCCTCACACCATGGGGCTGAAGATCTGGCATCCCTTTGCTTTCTGTTCTTGGTCATAGAGAGAGAAAAATTTATTAGAGAGTATATTGGGAAGTGGATTATACGTGTCACCAGACTGTGGGTGGATGGCGTGGAAAATTATCTGTTTAGAAATTAGTTATTAAACAATTTGGCCCACTTGACAATGGGAGACAATTTATTGTACATGCCTGACAAGCAACCCAGCACAATAATTCTAGTAGGTCCTTCTTTTGCCTTCTCTTGAAGTTTCTTGGGAAAGTTTTTAAATGAAGCTATTTGAGTTAAGGAGTTTCTAGGTAGAAAAAGTTCTGATAGCTGAGAAGCAGCCAATCCCTGGCTGAAGGCCATGCGAATAAGAAAAGTCTTTTCTTGTTTATGCTGCTGATAGGGATGTACTGGTGATTATCTACTGTCTTAGGTTATTGTTTAGCTGAAACAATGAGTTCTAGTGTAAGGCTTAGTTTTTTTTTTTTATTAACCTTGAAGGTTGCCTTCTTGCTGAGAGCGCATAGTGACCAAAAGTCTATGGGAAAAGGGATGCACTGATTGTTTCTGCTTTGTTTCTATGTATATGATGATGTAATCTCTCGGCTTGCTTAAAAAGTATAAAGAACCTGCTGAGCCCCTCAGTAGAAGATTCTTGCACCTCATCCAATGTCAGTGTCTCCTCACTACCTCATCCCCTTCCCCTCAGCCCCTTTTGCTTCACCTAGGCCATCTTTTCCTTTCAAGGACTTCTGACCCGACATTTTGCCGAAAGCTGGTCTGCGGCAAGTATTCATAAGGAGAGCTAATCAAACAAAAATTGAAGAAATTCTAGGCAAACTATAAAACTAATTTTGTTTGAAATATTTGCCTCTTTATGTAGTACTGAAATTATCTATGAAAACAATCTATAGATTTGGAGCACTGAGATTCTAACAGATGTAACGCCAGTAACAATATTTACTGCAATCATCCAAAATTGTTTTTCCAACTAGCAAAATATGTTAATACTTATAAATTTTCATTGACCAAATATTAGTACAATGACAATCAAATAAAAAGCAATTTATTATATGTAGAGAGGATCTGGAATATATGCCAATGCCAAATTTGATTTTAGAAATTTTAAATCAGTTATTAACATATATAAGATAATAAGAGCTAATAAAATATGTTTGCTAATCCTTGACTATTTGAGATGTCTTTATCAGGATTTGGTATAAGAGAGATGTTAGCATCAAAAAATTTCTTTAGAATTTTTCACTGTATTTTTTCGAAGAGTTTGTATGCTTGGTGAAACTCACTAGTGAAATCATTCTAGGACTTCACTTTTATTTGGGGAGACATTTTACTTTTTCAAATTCCTTGCTAGTAATTGATCTGTTCAGGTTTTCTATTTTTTCCTTGTTTATTCTAGGAGGGTTGTGGATTTTTAAGAATGTCCCCATTCCATCTAGGTTATTCAATGTGTCAGCATAGAGGTATCTGTAGTAATATCTCATGATTCTATGTATTTCAGAAATATCTGTTATAATTTCTCCTTTTTGGTTTCTGATTCTATTTATTTATATTAGAGTTTTCTACCTTTTTTCCCTTAGTTTAGCTAGAGGTCTGTGGATTTTGTTGATTTTTTCAAAGAACCAACTTTTGGTTTCATTGATTCTTTGGTCTGTCTTTGGATTTTTATTTCATTTCTTTCTGATCTCATTTTTATTATTTTCTCACTTCTAGGCTTTTGGATTTATGTGCTCTTTTTCTAATATCTTGAGTTGAGCAGTAAGTTTATTTTAGTTCATTCTTGTATCTTGATGTGGGCCTGTACTGCTAATTACTTTCCACTTAGTATCACTTTTGCTGCATCCCAAAGGTCCTGATATCTTGTGTCTTCACTTTCATTCTTATACAGGTATTTTTTTTTTTAATTTCCTCATTTATCCCATAGTGTTATTCAGTATTCAGTCTTTACATATTAGAGGTTTAGCCTGCTTTCTTCTTATATTTGATTTCTACTTTGATGCTGTTGTAGTCAGAGAGTATACTTGATGTGATTTCAATCTTCATGAATTGACTTTGTTTGTGACACAGCATGTGGTCAATCTTGGAGAATTTCCTGAGTATGCCTTAGTAGAAAGTGTAGTCACTTTCTTGGGGATGCATTATCCTAAAAGCTATTAAACCCATGTGATATAATTCTGCATTTAAGGTTACTGTTTTCTTACTTTCTGTCTGGTTGATCTCTCCATTGGCACAAGTGAGCTTTAAAAATCCCCAACCACTAGTGTATTGCTGCTGATGTCTGATTTCAGATTTAACAGTTACCTTATTTATGTTGATTTTTTTTGGGGGGGTGTATCTATCGATGACTGTTTTGTACTGATCCTTTAATCATTACATACTTCCATTATCAAAGATTTTACTTTTTTATCTAAAATTGTATATAATTTAAGTGTGGCTGTCCTTGCCTTTTCTGGGCCCCATTTGCTTTGTGGAATTGTTTTTTAACCTTTAATCTTTTTTTTTAAAGATTTATTTATTTATTTATACAAGCACTGGGTACAGTCAGAAGTGCAGGAGGGTAAGATAATTCACCAGAGCTAGAACAGGGAACAGAACAGGCAGACTGAAGAAATACACTGCTGAGGGGAGCAGCAGGCACAGCAGAAGAGGTCTGCGAGCCATGTGGGACCCTCGCAGGAGGCCGGGGATCTAACCAGTGCTGCAGTGGCTGCGGGCAGCTTCGCAGTCCAGTGCTCAACCATTTCGCCACCAGGGGAGGCCCTAATCTTGAGTCCATTTATCTTTGGAGATCAGGTGAGTGTCTTGAAGACAATAGAAATCTGGGTTTGTGTTTTGATCCATCTGGCCACTTGATGACTTTTGATTAATAGTCTTTTTAAATTTAGGGTGATAATTGATATATGAGGATTTGTTATTTCCAGCTAAATTTCAGTTTTTTGATTACATCTAAAACATTGTTTACTTTTGTGAGGGATTTTTTTCTTTCATTTATATAGGAGAGCTCCTTTCAATATTTCTTATAAGGAATGTGCAGTGTTTACAAACTCAGCTCTGTTTTTCTGGAAAGACCTTTTATTTCTCCCTCATATCTGAGGAGACTCTTGTATGATTTAGTATTCTTGGTTGGCATTTTTTTATTATTAAGTATTTTGAATAAGTCATCCCTTCTTCTCCTTGACCATAGGGTTTCCTTTAACAATACTGTTAACAGGCTTATGAGGATTCCTTTATAGGCTATCTGCTTTTACCCACTAGCCACCTTTAGTATTTTCTGTCTAGAGCTCTTGGTAGTTACAGAACTATGTGTCTTATTATAGTTCTCATTGAATTTATTATAAGTAATCAGGTATTTTATTAGCTTTATAAACTTTTGTATTTATTTGCCTCCCCAAGTTTGGTAAGTTTACCTCTACTATTTCTTTGACTAAATTCTCTACTCCCTTTGCTCTCTCTTCTGCTTCCGGGATACTCATTATCATTATGTTGCCTTTCTTATTTAAGTGGGTGGATCTTGGAGTGTATCATTTTTTTTTTATTTCTTCATATTTCTCTTTGTACTTCTAACATAATCCTTGGTGTATTATGATCTTCAAGATCACTAATATGGTCCTCCATTTTGTCTAGTCTGCTTCCATAGTTTTAGACAGAATTCTTTTATTTTCTGTATTGTTCTTTTTGCATCCTGAAACCCCATTGTTTTCTTGTTAAAGCTTTAATTTCCAATTATTGTTCAATAATTATATTTCTCAAGTCATTCTCTTTTTTATTTGCTGCATTTTGTTCCATTACTTGAAGTTATTTATCATTAAATTTCTGAATTCTATGTGTGCTAGGAAGATTAGATCTTCCATATGTTTGTGTTGGGAACTCTTGAGAGTTCACTCCTTGTGGCAACATTACCTTGAGCTCTCAAAAGTTGTTGTGTTGTGGGTTTTTTGTTTGGGGTTTTTTGTATGCCTTCTTTATAATTATCAGGTATTCTTCCTAGGCGTTCTATATTCTCCAACAGTAGCATATTGGAAACTTTAGGGCAAACCCAAGAAAGCATGTTACAGAAAGGAAGATACCACTCCTGATTCCACATTGGCCACCATCACGAAAAAGCCCTTTTTTAGTAGGCTCTGTTCACTTTGGTCCACCTGCAATTCCTGACTAAACTCTCTCGAAAGGTAGCTGTGTATTCAATCTTTCTGAAGTCCATTGCTCTAGCAGCCTGTTACTGAAAATGCAATGAGGGATATATGCCCAGAGATGCTATGCTTTCCCAAGTATGCAGCAAAGCAGAAAGCAGAAATAATACCAGTTCCAAGCCACTCCCTCCAGTTGCCTTTACAAAGCAGGCACAGAAAATCGATTGGGCAGAAAGTTTACTGTTTTACAATTTTGCCTATTAATGGACATCTGCTGATGTATGAAGATATTATTTTTGGTTGCCATAATTGATAGAGTAGGGGCTGGGTGTACATGGTGTCTGGTATGTAGAGGCTGGAATTACTGCTAACCATTCTACAAAGTACAAAAGAAAGACTCCATTAAAAAAAGGATTATTGGGCACTAAAGGCCAGTGATGTAAAAGATGAGGAACCTGAAAAGCATATGCTTACTTATCAAATAATTTTAAATTATTAAGTATTTAAGACATGCCAAAATATTTACATAAGAAAATGAAACTATGGTGCCTACCACTGAGCTTAAGAAATAAAAAGCATTCAGTCTTTTTTGTGTATTCTTCCTGGCAGGCTCTTTAAAATATTTTCAAAGGGATTAGTTAAAATATTAACTGTTATAGCTCTATTATATTCTGTTAAAGTGTGCCATGGCATGTTAACTATTCTACATTATGTTGAATTATACTATAACTATCATACAATTTTAATAGATTTAATGACTAGGTACATTTCTACTTCATACCAGAAACCTGGAATTATAACAGAACATTTCAGAGAGCATAAGATAAGTAAATATTTATTCCCTGTATGTAGAAATAAATGCTTTGATTACCTTCTGAGCACATAACATAGAGGAAGTGGTTTTATAGATATAATCAATTACAAAGGTTAGTTATGACTCACTAAATAAGTAGTCAATGATCTTTAGGTAAAAGCAAGCTTATACAATACAAAAAATAAACAGGAAGCTAGTAGGAATAAAAAACAGTACAATAGTCCTCTAATTAATTTCATAGAGGGTATTAGAGATTGTACTCTCTGACCCACATTTCCTTTACACTGAGAGACTTTTGTTTGTTTGTTTGTTTGTTTTTTGTCCAGAAGTAGCTGCCTCACAGCTACAGGTTAGAATGGGAGTTTTGGTGTAATCTTGACTCTCATTTCCTAGATCAGGGTTCTGGAAGCCTCTGTAACCAAAGAGAGCATGCTTTCCAGGTTCTTCAGTGATAAGGGAATTCTGATTATCTAAAAACACCATGTCATTTCATTAGACACAGTGGATCTATAATATGCAAAACCAGAATATTAATGAATCTATAATATAAATGAAAGTACACAAAAAAGCAGAAAATATGATCTTTATGACTATCTCTGTCTCAAATATTTATAAGTGTAGACTAATTTTTCTTGCTTTTAAAATATTCTTGGGCCTCCCCTGGTGGCTGCTGTTGAGCGCTGGGTTGCGAAGCTGCCCGCAGCCTCTGCATCACCAGTTTGATCCCCGGCCACTGGCAAGGGTCCCACATGGTGAGCAGACCTTTCTTGCCGCCCGCTGCTCCCCTCAGCAGTGTACTTCGTGTCAGTCTGCCTGCCTGCTCTGTTCTCCCCTCTGTCTCTGGTGAATTCTCACCTTCCCGAGCTTCTGATTGTACCCAGTGCTTGTATAAATAAATGAAATAAATTTTTAAATAAAATATAAAAAATAAAATATTCTTTACAATTCAATTTGTCCAAGAAATAATAATTGCTAAAAGTTATCTTTTATTTCTTTACAAAAGCCTGGTATCACTGTGTACAAAAATACTATCAGTGAGAGTGACAAACAGAATGCCTGTGTTCATCAACAATAAGAAACAGAGGTGATGAAAAATAGCAGTTATCACATTTGCTTGGAATAGGTATGATTTTAACAACAAACTGAAACTAGCAAACGAAGCCCAAAGAAAATTTCATGGAAGAAAGGCAAGAGAAACATCATTAGACTGTTAGAAACAAAATATGAGAAAGAACAACAGCTCATGGATAAAAGAATTTTAAATTTTAATAGTATGCCATAAAATTATTTATTCTACCATGATGAGAAATGGGAAAGAAATGCTTTATGATGTTGCTATCATTGCTAATGTTTAATTTTCCCTAAATAATTATGAAAATGAAAGTGGTGAATACAAGCTATATTATTTAAGAGAAAATAGTTTCAAATTCTACAGCACTAATTCTATTACTGTCTTAATTGATATACGTGTAGTCATCCAAAGTCATCAACGCTTGTAAAGTACATGAACCCATGCAGACTCACAAACTGGCATAAAATACAGATGGTCAATAGCTACATAAATAGATCAATGATTACAAAGATGAATTGAGGATACAATAACAAGCTCTACTATTGCACAAGCATGAACTTCCTGACTATAAGAATGATTATATTCTAGAACTGGTTAGTTGAGGGAATTTGAAGAACATTTATTTTTCTCTGCCAAATCAATAGATACCCATCCAACTTTGATGACTTATAAGTAGTATTGCCTGGAATCAGGAGAATGAATTGGATGACCTTTGTTTAATTTTAAGCATTTTTATGAGGAACAAATAAATTATATTATCTGGTTTTGAGATGTAAAATGACATTTGGAAAAAACATAATCCCGTGGTTACTTGTAGACCCTATCAGGTACAGTGGTAGAAATGGGTTTCTGAAAAAGTAATTCAGGCAGCATAAGCAGAAATTATCTATTAGGGAAAAAGTAAGCTGAGATATTTCCATGTGTGTATTTCTGATGTATTTGCATGTGGATGTATTTCTGCACTTTCCAGGTATAAAGAAGGGGCACTAGAACTTCATTTCACAGAAGTGCTATAAAGAGAATTGGGTCATTTATAAAAAATACATATATTTAAAAATGAAAGGAGAGGCAGGTTGGAGGAAGAGAGAAGGAGGAAATGATGGGTGGAAAATGAAAGGAGGAAAGGCAGGAATAGGGAAAGCAGGAGGGAACAAATGAAAGTAGAGAAAATGAAGCAGGTGGAGGGAAAGCAAAAAATAAAACACTGGACAGTTCCAGGTGCAGCAGAAAAGCAGGTCTCCCTTAAAAATAAGGGAGAAGAGAGGCCTCCCTGGTAGTACAAGGGGTTAAGTTTCAGCACTATGAAGCTATCTGCAGCCACTGCAGTACTAGTTCGATCTCTTGTCAGGGAGCTACCCACATGGCGCAGCAGACCTCTTCTGTCTCATCCGCTGCTCCCCTCAGTAGTGTATTTCAGTCAATCTGCCTGTTCTGTTCCCCACTCTGTCTTTGGTGAATCCCTTAACCTCCCCACACCTCTGGCCTATATTCCAGCTCTTGTATGCATAAATAAAATAAACTTCAAGAAAATAAAGGAGATCATGAATAAATACAACATTTGCCTAAGGAATACTGGTGTCTGGTATGAAATGTGGGTTGTTTTATGAAAGTACTACAAAACAATAAAAATAACTTCAACTAATTACAACACTGCAAATCAGAATATCAAAAGAAGTCTCTTTTCCCATGATCTCATTCAGGCATTCATCATTTAAAACACTCTCCTGTGCTGGTTTCTGCTGGTACTTTCACCAATATGCTGGATCCTGTTTTCTTATTAAACTAACACCACCCATCCCCTGACCCTGTGTGGTTTCTAGAAATTTAGTCCTTAACCTTCTGTCACACTTTTCGCAATATCAACCTCAATCTCTTTGCTTTTTTCTTTTTAATTTTTTTAAAGATTTTTTTTTTTAATTATTTATCTACACAAGCACTGGGTACAGTCAGAAGCACAGGAAGGTGAGAGAATTCACTAGAATTCTCCAGAGTGGGGAATAGAACAGGCAGACAGGCGAAATGCACTGCTGAGGGGAGCAGCAGGCGGCAGGAGAGGTCTGCGCACCATGTGGGACCCTCAGCCGGCAGCCAGGGATTGAACCAGCACTGCAGAGGCTGCGGGCAGCCTCGCAGCCCAGTGCTCAACCGCCGCGCCACCAGGGGAGGCCCAACCTCAATCTCTTTGATCCTGTTATTCAAACAACCACTTCTTCACAAATGACTCAAAAACTTTATTATATGTTTGAATATTATTTTTTCTCTAATACCAATGTCTTTTAGGGTTTCACTGTACATTTTATTGAAATAACAATTTTCTCCCTATCTCTGGTTTCTTTTTGCCAAGCTGTGTCATATGTTGCAGCAAGAGAAACCTTCCTACAAAAACATTATCATGTCCAAACTCAATAGCTTAGTATTCAACTTGTCTACCAGAGGTCAAAACTCAATGCTTATGAGCTAGAAATGAATCAGAATGGCGAAAATGTAGCAAACTATGGATAAAATGCAAATACTACTATTAAAAATGGTCTTTCCTACAAAGACCAAGGAAAACACAGTATGAGTCACTAAATTACAGTATCCTTTACAATATGACCCTAAATCTTTTATATGCTGTTTTTTAATGCCACCCTATATGAATTCTTAACTTTTTCAGTATATAGAATACTTCTTTCATAGGTCTCAAGCTTTTTACCCAACATTCCCCTTTTTATCCCTTTATCACCTCCCAATTTGATTTTTTTTGTGTGTATGGTAAGAACTTCTTAGGGATTCTCTAAGCAATTTTCAAATATACAGTACAGTAGTGCTAATGATAATATCATGCCGTATACTTACATCTCCATAACTTATTGATATTACTACTGGAATTATATACCCTTGCAGCACTTTCATTCCTCCTCCCCTCCCCCATACTCTTGGCAAACATCACTCTGCTGTTTCTCTGAGTTCAAGCTTTCTTAAATTCCATATACAAGTGAGGTCACTTGTCTTTCTGTCAGACTTCACTTAGCATAATGCCTTCAAGGTGAACCCATATCACAAATGGCAGGAATTCCATCCTACCATTGGCTGAAAATATTCTATTTTATATGTGAACCACATTTTTGTTATTTAGTGGACACTTACTTTTCATGTCTTAGACACTGTAAAAAAATTGCTGCAATGGCATGAGGGTGAAGACTTCTCTACAAAATAATGATTTTAATATCCTTTGGAAATGTATCTAGACATGAGATGGCTGAACCATATGGTAGTTTTAATATTTTGACAAATCACTATACTGTTTAGCATAGCAGCTGTACCAATTTACATTCCTGCCAGTGTACAAGGATTCCCTTTTCTACACATACTCAACAGGACTTGTTAATAACACTTTTCTTTTTGTTTTTTTTTCTTTGTTTGTTTGTTTTAATATTTATTTATTTATACAAGCACTGGGTACAGTCAGAAATGTGGGAGGGTGAGAGAATTCACCAGAGCCAGAGCAGGAAACAGAACAGGCAGACTGACAAAGTACACTGCTGAAGGGAGCAGCGGGCATGGCAGGAGAGGTCTGTTGCGCCATGTGGGACACTCGCCAGCAGTCGGGGATCGAACCGGTGCTGCAGAGGCTGTGGGCAGCTTTGCAGCCCAGCACTCAACAGCAGTGCCACCGGGGAGGCCCAACTCTTTTCTTTTTGATAATAACCAGACTAACACGTGATATCTCTCTGTGGTTTTGATTTGCATTTCCCTGAAGATTTGTAATGTTGAGTACCTTTTCCCTTATGTATTGGGCTTTTTGTTTTCTTTTTAAAAAATGTCTATTCAGGTCCTTTGTTGTTAGATACATAAACTGATTTTATTGAATATGCTTAGTTGTTCTGACAACTTTTGGTATAGTCTTTAATAAGATCATGTCATCTTCAAAGACAGTGTTGCTTATTCTTTTCCAATTTGGATGCTTTTTTATTTCTTGTCACATTGCTCTGATTACAACTTTGTGACTTATTGAATTTCAGTGGTGAAAGTGGGCAACATTCTCTTGTGAAAAGATTTCCACCTTTCACTAATGAGTATGATATTAGCTGTGGGCTTGTCATATATGACCTTTATTATGCTGAGGTAAGTTACTTCTTTAACAAAATTTTTGTGAGGTTTTATCATGAATGAATATTATATTTTGTCAAATGCATTTTCTGCATCTATTAAGATGATCGTTTGATTTTTATCTTTCATTCTATTAATGTGATAATGTGATACATGCCATTTATTGACTGATCTATTGAACCAACCTAGATTCTCAGGAATAAGTGCCATGAAATCATGGTGTATGATCCTTCTGATGAACTGTTGAACTTGATTTGCTAGCTTCTATTGAGGATTTGGTAACTTCCGGTACTAGTTTGTAGTGTG